CTATGCCAAACAAGGTAATCCACAACAAAACAAATGCTCCATGAAGTATCTCAAAGAAATTTATTTACAGAAAGTAAAATAGCATTTGCCAGTGGATTAGGAGAAGGGGAAAAATGGAAGTAGTTATTCAAGGATATAGTTTCAGTTGCTTTATAAGAGGAGAAAGTTCTAGAGATCATTAAGATGCCTACAGAGAGAGGTATGATAATATAAAGAGGCAATTTAGTAGAAACAAATTCTAAAGGTGACTGGAAAGCCAATGATTAAAAGGTACAAAGAATGCTTAAGACAGAAAAAAAAAATTTGTTAAGAGGGACCTGAAAAAAATGGTATTACAGGACAAACCTAGAGAGTTCAAGGAAAATCTCATATTCATGATACAAAATTCTAATTTTAGCCAATATCAAGAGTAAAATTTAATGACATTCCCCCCATAAAAAGGCATGTTTCATACTAATAAAAAAATTTTTTTAAAAAGAGAAAAACATGATGGTATCCTAAACACTTCAACAGCTTATATAACTTCTGTTTTCTCCATGTAAATTAACTTTGTTATAAAATAAACACAAAAATAAAAGTATGGACACAGATAAGGAAAAAAACCACGCATGTTTCATATTGCCAGAAATTCCCAGGATTCATAAATCACTAAATATGAACGAATAAGTTGGTCACTAACAGATTTTAAGCAGATAAGTGTCTAAAGAATTTGCTTTTACAATAATTCCATAATCTAAACTAAGACCAAAATGCACAAAACTGAATATAGGCAATCCAGTTAGGTAGTGAATATTGAAAATGTTACAGGCCAAGAAGGAAGTACCAACAAGAATGAGGATGAAGAAAATTACATAAGAAATAATTAAAAGACATAGTCTGTAGAGATTATCCTATGCCAAACAAGGTAATCCACAATAAGGGAACTAAAGATGACGCCCAGGCTTCTGGTGTGTGCAACAGGGTTCAAAGCTTATATGCTAACAAAAAGAACATTCATCAAGATTTAATTAACAATGTATGTCCATTAGATACTTCATGAATCCTAAGTTCTGCTCTTATTATTTTGGGGAGAATAGAGCAAGGTAGTCATTCCCTCAACCATCCCTACTAAGAGTATGTTTTCCTTTATTTATAGCAGATGGTACCAGTCAATATGATGCATTATACAGTAGAATAGTGGATAGACTATGACTCATGTCATTAATATGCCCAGTACATTTCAGTGACTCCCTGTGTGTCAGGAGAGAACCAAGGACTTTACTGTTGCAAGATCTTTCACAATCTAATCATGGTTTTCTACTTATGGCTACATTTTTCACATCTCCTCCCATCACCTCATCCTGCCATACATCAAAAGGCCTTTCAGTGTACCTCTTCTGATGTCTTCCTTGATTCCAGATCTTAGAAGTTATTCCTCCTGCCTTGAGGACTATAGTCTTAGTTATCCCCAATCAAGCTGGAGGTTTCAGCTTAGATAATCACTTCTAAGATAATTAGGTATTCCTCTTGTATGCTCCCCATGGCAACCTATATTTACTCTATCACTAAACTACATTTTTCTTATAACTGCCATTTATTAAACGGTAAGCACCCTAAGTCACATAACCCAGTAATTTATTATTGTGTTCTTAGCAAATTACAGAACCTCAATAAAGATTCTTCAGGTTCTCTTCTGATGCTGTCTAGATAGATAATAGTATCAACCCTATCTTTTCCAGTTATATGACCTTGAAGGGAAGAGAAAAGTCAGAATATCTCCCAGTTTCTGGGGTATACTGTAAGTATACAAAAGAACCTACAAAGTCTCAATCTGCAGAACAAGAATATGACAAGGAGATTTTTTCCACAGGAAATTTTCTCCACATGAGAAAAATCATGGCAACAGAAGAACCACATACATGATTAAAGAGATTTCTATCTTTATTTCAGAAAATATTTTGATATTAGTTAGTCTAATCCATAAGTGCTTACATATATGAAAATACACCTATAATTCATGGAAAAACTAAAAGCATCCACACTCTATCTCCACAGTCAACTCGATTAAAAGGTTCAGCTCTCCAAATCTACTTTGAAAGAATTCATGAGTAGCATGGAACACAGTAACTTGCCATATGGCAAATGTTCAAGACATCGGATGGCATTCCCCACATTCAACAGCTATGAAAATATAAGCCAGTTTATTAGCATATAAACTGATGTTAAAAAATTCTTCCTATGTTTTCACAAGGAAATTAAAAAGACAGAAACCTTTTACATAAAATTAGCATCTTCATTCTTTCATGTAATAAATATTGAGTACCTATTTATTGTCTCATTTGGCTTCCATTCTAATGATGAAGAAGAAAGACACCAAAAAAGTCAACATGAAAGTTGTCAAATGACATTAAATTGTGTGAAGAAAAATAGATGTAAGAGGACTATAGAAGCCACAACATGGGCTCTCTGATATAGCATCATTCAAACAGAGACCTCTGAAAGAAGAAAACAAGGAAACCATGTGGACATCAAAGAGAAGGGTCATAGACAATAGAAATAACCCTTGAGAACATAAAGATATGTGGGCAAGAGCATAAAGCTAGTATAGACAGAGATGAAAAACGGAAGTACAGAGGTCAAAGAAGTAAAAAGGAGCCAATAATAGAGCAACATAGATTTCTAAGTATTACTTTGAGGGGGGGGGAGACTTTGAAGGGTTTTAACCCATTTTGTCCCATTCTTCCAGATGTGTAACACCAATGAAAACTTCAATTAATCAATATTCATACCATTTGAGTTAACTCTGAAATAATATTTATATATTTATTATGTTCATAGAAATGAAAACTTGGAACTTAACAGATTAAGATTTCAAAAAGCCCAGTCTGGGTATTAAGAATACAATGTAAGGGGCACTTTTTTTTTTTTTTTTTGGCAAAAGACGAAGGGCTTTAATCAGGATAATAGAAGTAGAAACGATAACAAGGAGTTAAAGTACAGATGCTTCAAGGTAGAAACACCAGTATTCGTAAATCCTTTGAACTATGTGAGACAGAAATCTAGAGACTTCAAAGGTTTTAACTAAAGGGAGTAGGGATAGAGGGCAGACTGCTACTGAATGAGATGGCAGAAGAATGTAAAAGAATTAGATTTGAGAGGATGAAAATAAAGAGCTCTATCTATTTAAGTAAAAGATTGCTAAACTTGTATTTTAGTTGTTAACATTAAGAAGTAACCATCCAATTACTGGATAAATAAATCTACAGTTCAGAGGGTAAGTCAGAGTTGGAATGGAAATATGCAAGTTGTAAGAGTACAGATAATAAATCTCTTACCTGGAGAGAAAGGATAAAGATGGCCTTAGGACTGGTCTGGGGCATTCCAACATTTAGAGTAAACTGAGGATTTATTTAAACAATCTTGCTTTAATGAGCCATAAATCACTTGATACATTTACCCTTGCTCCATTTATAGTAATACACCTGAAAATATAGCCTTAATGTTAGAGATGGGGTATAGGGAGTAATTACCAAATATGAGAAATCTGAAGTTACTAAGAAACTGCTTTGAAATCATTAAGATATCAAGAAGCCTAAAAATATATAAAAAGACTCTACCACAAGATACTTACAAAGTTTAAACAAAACTCAGAATAACATATGATCAAAAAAGATTTCGGTTACTATTACTTCTAATTTTAGGTTGAATTACAAAATAGTATCCAGCTGTTAAAAATCTTTGCTATGCTTTTCTGCTTCCAAGGAAATATTAAGAATTCCTTAACAGGCATGGTCTCTATGTATATAAAAATTACTATTTAAAATGTACTCGAAGTCTTCTCTAAATGTATATTTAAAACATAATTGAGTTACACCAAAATCCAACTTGTATACCCAAGTACCACAAAAATTTAAAAATCATGCTTCAATATATGTGGAATGTTGTCTTTTATAAATTACCCTCATTAATTCTTAGGGGAAAGCAAGAATCCTTCATTAGTTATTTTGTAAATTAAGACATACAATATTATGGTACAACAAAACTGGACCTACTCACCTTACTAAAGTGCTGCCTGTTATGGTTTTTACAGGTATAGGAACTTGAGAAATGGTGGCAGATGTGAAGGCTTAAGAGCTATTTTCCCATGATATTATGGCTAGGACCATAACTCTGTTGAGACATCATGGTAGGTCTAATTTTCTGTTAACTCTATTTTAACATGGTCAAGTTAAAAAGCATGAGAGCTTTCTTAACACAATCTGGACTTACACCAGAGATTTATACAGAAACTTGTAACAAACAGCTTACCATGCCTCACAATGTCATCATCCTTGATTTTTACTACCAATGAAGTTTCATCTATACTCTCCATTCTTTAATCTTGATTCATTCTCCTAAATTCCACCAAGATCTCTAAAAACCCACTTATAAGGTGTCCATCATCTTCAAATGCTTTATATAATGGCTTTTCAACATATTACCTCGCGCTAAAGCCTGGCTTCCTCCCAAAGGCACTTATCCTGCAACACTTTTATATGAACTTGAAAAGACTCCTAAAGCCCCTAAGTCCCCCATTATTCTTCTAATACCCTTGTTAAAAACAAACAATGCCCCCACCGAAAAGAAAACAAAAAACTTCTAACTTGAAACTAATATAATCTACCTGAATTCTTTATGATTTTCCTCTGCTGTTAAACTCAGGTGATAGGTTCTATTTGATGTATATTAAGTCATTAGCAAAGTGACTTCAATGTCAAGGTCTGTGTCTCTGTTCTATTCCAATATTATAGTCCCTTAAAATATCTGCCTTAAGTTGAAACAGCTTTTTTAAACTCTTTTTTCATTCCAGACATGTTAAACACCCACCTCTGATCATTATCATCTACCCTCATTTGCACTCATATAGAATGATCATTGACATAAAGACACGAGACATTTTTAAAATTTTGTATTCATTTATTTGTTGACAAATGAGAATTGGATATATTTATCACATGCACAACATGTTTTGAAATATGAATACATTGTGGAATGGCTAGATCCAGCTAATATATGCAATACCTCATATACATAAAATTTTTGTGGTAAGAACACTTAAAATTTTCTGATCAATTTCCAAGAAGATAATACCTGTTAACAAGTTGAATAAATGTCGACAATTTGTATCCTCTAAGTATCATGTGTGCAGCCCTTGGTGACAACCATTCTACTCCATACTTCAATGAGATAAACTTTTTCACTTTTCCTATATAACTGACATCATGCAATATTTGTTTTTCTGTGTCTGGCTTATTTCACTTAAATAATGACTTGAGTGTCATCCATATTGTTTCCCTGTGCCCCTAAAAGAGAATTTCATCCTTCATTATGGCTGAATAGTACTCCATTTGCAATATACACCATATTCTTTAATCTATTCATTAAACTGAATGAGATACTCAGTTTAACACTAAATCTTGGCTACTGTGAATAATGATAGAATGAACATGACAATGCATGTATCTTTTTTTTTTTTAGCTACACATGACATTACAATGATCAATACATCTGAATCAATTGGGGTATAATTTCTCATTTTTCTGATTGTACAGCTTGCAGAATCACACTGGTCATACAGTCACCTATATACATACAGCAACTATAATGTCTATTCTATTCTGCTGCCCTTCCTATCTCTTTGACAGTGATTTCAGTTCCTTTGAATATGTACTCAGCAGTGGAATTGCTAAATCTTGGCAGTCCCATTTTTTATTTTTTAAATAAGTCCTCCTATTTTCCCGAATAGCTGTACTAATTTACATTCCTATTGTCTTGAATACAGAGGTTCCCTTTTTTTCCCCACATCCTTACCAAGAAAGTTCTCATTTTTTATATTAACTATTTTAATGGGGCATCTTATTATAGTCTGTATTTGCATTTCCTGGATTAATAACAATTCTGAGTACTTTTTTCATCTACCTTTGGGTATTTGCTTGTGTTTGAATGTGTGGGTGTGTGTGTGCATGCACATGTATGTCATGGTTATTGGGGTCCTTTGCTCATTTCTTAACTGGGTTTTTTTTTTCTTGCTACTAAGTTCCTTATATATTTCATTTATTAACCCCTTCTCAGGTGTGGTTTACAAATGTTTTCTCTAATCATTTCATAGGTGTTCTTTTTACTGTTGATTTTACCCTTTGTGCAGAGCTTTTCAGTTTGGTGTATCTCATTTGTCTACTTTTGTTTTTGTTGCCCTTCTCTGGATTTAAAAAAAAAAAAAGAGATGTATTCCTTTGTCTTCTTTTAGTACTTTTACGATTTCAAATTGTACACGTAGTTTTTAAACCATTTTCAGTTGAGTTCTCTACATGGTATGAGCTAATGTTCCAAGTTCATTCTTCTACATGTGGACATCCAGTTTTCCCAACATCAACTACTGAACAGACTGTCAGATCACATTTGCTTTCATCAAATTTGTCAAGATTCTATGCTCTTTATTGTGTTCTGTTTGTACATGTGTTTGTTTCTATGTCTTATTGATTAGGTATATTTTCAAGTTAGGTAGTATGATACCATACCTTCAGCTTTGTTCTTTTTACTCAAGACTGCTTTGGCTATCTAGTCTTTTATGGTTCTATATAAATCTCAGTATAATTTTTTCAATTTCTGTGAAAAAGGTCATTGACATTTTCCTAGGGATTACACGGAATCTTAAGAGTACTCTGAGTAGTATGGAAATTTGTAACAATATTGATTCTTCCAATCCATAAATATGGGCCAACTTTTCACTTACTTGTATCCTCTTCAAGTTCTTTCATCAATGTTTTTTTGTTTTTACTGTGGACATCTTTCACCTCCTTGGTTAAATTTCTTAAATGCTTTTATTTTTCTGTAGCTATTTTAAATGAAACATTTTCTTGATTTCTTTTTTTAGTCAGTCTGCTCTTTAAGTGTATAGAAACAATGACGATTGTTATACTTTGATTTTGAATCCTACAACTTTACCATATCTCTTTAGTAATTCTAATAACCATGCCATCTACAAACTAAGTGAGTTAAACTTCTTCCTTTCCTATTTGGATACCTTCTATTTATTTCATTTAATTACTCTGATAAGGACTTGAAGCACAATGTTGAATAGAAATGGTGAGAGCAGGTTCCCTTGCCTTGTTCAAGATTTCAACTTTTCACCATTAAGTATGACTTTAGCAGTAGGTTTGTCACATATGCCTTCATTGTGTTGAGATACATTCCTTGTATGTCTTATTTATTGAGGCTTTTTATCAGAGATGTTGAATTTTTTTAAATGTTTTCCCCTCACTCTATTAATGATGTCACATTTATAGATCTAGTTATGTTACACATTCATTGCATCCTTAAGATAAATATATTATCATGATGAACAGTTCTAACATGCTATTTAGTTCAATTTGCTAGTAATTTCTTCACAATTTTTGCATCTACTTCATCGGGGATATTGGGCTTTAGTTTTTTGTTTTTTTAAGAGTTTTCGTCTGACTCTGTTATCAATTTAATGCTGGCCTCATAAAATAAATTTGGAGATATTCCCTCTTCTTCAGTTCTTTGAAAAAGAAAAAAATGATATTACTTCTGTTCAAATACTCAATAAATTCAGCAGTGAAACCATCAGGCCCTGGGCTTTTATTTGGTGGAGGATTTTACTACTGACTCAATGTCTTCACTCCTTATTGATCTGTTCAGATTTTTTGTTGTTATTGTTCAACATTAAGTCTTGGTAGACAGTATGCATGCAAGAATTTATCTATTTTTTTCTTCTAGGTTAAAGAAAACCAAATATATTTTAGGTTGAATAATTTGTTGATTCATAACTGTTCATTGTAGTATCTTGTGATCCTTTCTATTTACCTATTTCAGTTGTAATGGCTCTTCTTTTTTTCTGATTTGATTAACCCAACTTATTCATGGTCTACCTAAAGCTTTCTTAATATTATCTTTAAAAACAAGCAAACAAAAAAAAAACTCTCAGTTTTAAGAATCTTGTCATTCCCTTTCATTTATATCTACTCTGATCTTACTCCTTCTTACATCAACTAACTTTGAAGTTATTTTTTCCTAATTCCTTCAGATGTAACGTTAGCTCATTCATTTGAGCTATTTTTTATTTTTAATGCAGGTGTTTATTGCTGTAAATTTCCCTCTTAAAATTTATTTTTGCTGCCTTACATGAGTTTGGATACCTTCCGTTTCCATTTTTGTCTAAAGGTATTTTTTAGTTTTAATTTTGTCTTTGGCCTGTAGTTGTTCAGACAGTATTATGTTAAATTCCCATGTATGTGAATTTTCTAAAATTCTTGCTATTACTGATATCTAGTTTCATATCACTGTGATCAGAAAAGATATCTGATACAATTTCAAACAACACATTTGATAATTCTTGCACATGACCCATCCTGTATTTAAAAGAAGGTATTCTACCACTGTTGTACAGTTACATATCATCTGGACTAAAGTATAATTTAATTATGATGTCTGTACATTGCTGAGAATGGGGTACTGAAGTCTCCAACTATTATCATTATCACAGTCTATAAGATCTATTGGGGCTAGGGTTGTAGCTCAATGTTAAAATGTATACTTAGTGGGCTAGGGATGTGGCTCAAGCGGTAGCGCGCTTGCCTGGCATGCGTGTGGCCCGGGTTCGATTCTCAGAACCACATACAAACAAAGATGTTGTGTCCACTGAAAACTAAAAAAATAAATAAAAATTCTCTTTCTCTCTAAAAAAAAAATGTATACTTAGCATATGTGAGGCCCTAGGCTCAATCCCACCACAAAGGGGGGGGGCACTTATTATCTGCTTTATATATTTAGATACTCTAATGCTAAGTGCATAAATATTTACAATTATAATATCCTCCTGATGAAATGGCCACTTTACCATAATACAATGACCTTCTTTTTCTTGTTTTAGTTTTGACTTATCTGGTGTTATCTGATATAGGTACAGCTATCCCAGATCTCTTTTGATTTCCATATACATGGAATTAAAAGTTAAGAACACTTTTAATTTGTGTTCTTAACAGTGAAGCGAGTCTCCTATAGGCAACATACAGTTAGTTCTTGCTTAATTATCCATCCAACCACTCTATGTGTTTTGACTGGTGAAACTGAATTCATTTATATTCCAAGTAATAACTAGCAGGTACTACTATAATTTGTTAATTG